AAAAATTAATAATAAAATTTAAACATTTAAATTAAAAATTAAGTTTATTAAAATTAAATAGAGAATATAATTAATATACTATTTTAAAAAATTTATAAATTAGTCATTTTCTTATTTTTAATTTGGGGGGCCCGAATTGTCATTATCTTATTTTTTAATTTGGGGGCCTGAATTGTCATTTTCTTGATTACTCTATTTAATCTTAACCTTTACGTTTTCCGTGGCTTCTTTTAATTGTCATTTTCTTGATTACTCTATTTAGTCTTTACCTTAACTTTTTCCATGGCTTCTGTTGCTTCTTTTGTTTTTATTAAATTTTTTCCATAACTTTGACAGATATCATTAATATTCTTTCTATAGAGGTCAACTTTTCACACGGTATATCTACTCGCCTTCCCCAAGTAAAGATAGATTGTTCTAAAAACAATGACACTTTACTGAATAACGTGAAAAAGCAAACTCTTTTTCCGAAGCAGGGAACACCCTTGGCCCAGGGCGGAGGATCATGAATATGAAACACTGAAGATGACAAACAAATTTAGCAGATACAGATTATAGAATCTCTAATCAAACATTCAAAATACATAAGAGGGAGAAAGCAAGATTAAAACCAAAAGGTATTATAACAAAGTTCAGCTTTTGCTGGATATAAAAAACCCAAGAAGTCTTCCATCAGTAACGACAAAAAAGATTTCTTGCTCTCCTTGTTATCATCATTCCAATTCCACGTTTGCTTAAGTTGACTCTGGGGGGTCTTGGCGACCTGCCACGAACGATTCTCCCGTGAAGTTACAGTGATTGAATCAAGTTTATCCCCCTTCTTGAACAGGAGGTTCATCAACAACAACTGATCTTCTTCTCCTGTATAACCCAGAACCTCAACCATCTTTAGGTGTTTAAGTTCAGAAGTATTGCACTCTACAGTTGCGTTATCCATCCAGAGGTGAGGTTCATGCAAATAATGATGGAAAAATGGACAGGGTACCCTGTTGCGGCTCGGGTCAATCTGAAGATTATTAAGATAAAAAATAAAAAATAAAAAAAAAAAGGAGAGAGAAACATTAAGTTTATAAAGCAAAATTTTAGTCAGGAAGCGTTTTAAGCTATCAGGCTGAGGCTCAAGAACCTATGCTACAAAACATCCCACATCCGTTGGGCTTAAGGCATACAGAAGAAATTTCTAAAAGAGGCTGTAACTAGAATTCAAACACTGACAACCATATTGAAGAGTTTGATGCCAAATTCAAAATAACTTTATTTAAAAGTTTAAGCTATGACGTAAGGGAAACTTAACCATTTGGAAAAAAACAAAAACAAAAACAAAAGAAGAAGAAGAAGAAGAAGAAGAAGAAGAAGAAGAAGAAGAAGAAGAAGAAAGAGGAAGCAAAAACTCACTTTGATATGCAACTTCTCCAAGGAGGGACATATGTTGAGGAAGCAAGCTAAAGAGTCCCGGTTCCTCTTGTTCATATGAGAGTCTATCCAATACAGTTCTTTCAGCTTGTTTAATTTGAACTCAAGCCACCGGAAAATTACTCCGGCCGAGCACAAGCACTTCACAAAAAGGATATGTTTCTTATTGGAAATCTGGAGAGCTCAAAGCAAACTAATTAACTGAGAGTTAGAAGCAAACATACCTCAAGAAACCATCCCTTGATGGTGAGTATCTGCATTTCCTCTAGAGAAGCTAAAAGAGCAACAACATCCTCGGAATCAAACTCTCTGTTTTCCCCTAAACCATCGAAATTAAGCGACACTTCAACCAATTTTGAAGTGTTTTTCAGTTGAATCAGAGGAGTAACACCTTGGTATGAGAAAAAATGAAGATTTCTTGCTGAAATAGTGATATTTTCCATCTCCGGGCAATCTGATACTTCCAGGCTACGAAAGCAGTCGTTAGCTTCTAAATCAAGAATCTGCAATCCGCGGCAGTGTTGGAGCTTCAGAGATTCAAGAAACTGGCACCTGGAGAACAGAGTGGAAGAAAAATCTTTCCCAAGGTTGTTCACTGATCGGAGATGGAGAGTCCGGACAGAAGAAGAAAATCCACCTGCGAGGACTTCCGGTTCTAACTTCAACCGGAAACTAGTCATTTCTTCCTGCATCTCCTCAAATTCCAGCCGAACTTCTCCATTTACACCTTTCCTAGCCAAGATGTGGACTGTTTCATCCCCTGTTAGAAAACAGAGTTTCCATATCTGATGAACAGCGGCAGGCCCCAACAGCATGGCTGCAATTTCTTCTACCTCTTCAGTAGTGAATTGTTCCGGAAGCCAGATGGCTCTCCATCGAGACGAAAGGATGCTTGTTCTCACCGCCTGTTCTAATGGAAGGAATGAAACCATATGCCTGAGAACATCATTAGGAAAACTGGTAAATTCCAGATCATGGTTTCCCCTCATTTTTTTTCCCTTGCTCAGAAAATGCAGAACAAAAATGGGCTATTTCTTGTCAAGCACACGTCAATGGAAGTGAAAATTATAGGAAAGGACTACTTCCTAATTGGCATAAATATGATATAAGGACCCAAACTTACACAAAATTCGCAATGTTGGACCCAAACTTCAATTGCACTCAATTAAGGTCCTGAACTCCACGAGATTCTCAAATAAGGTCCCAATTTGACGGGAAAACTAACTTCCGTTAAATCTAACAAACACCGTTAAATGTCTGTCACACTCCCTTAACTGACTTTGTGACACCCG